TAGTATCAAAAAGAAAAACAATCTTAACAAAGATAATTTTATCGTTTGATTAAATTAAAACTAATTAACTAATTGAAAAATGATTCTCTATATTGTATCATTAACTCTGTAAGTCTATTACATAATGAAATTGTATTTTATACAAACAAACCCCTTTATCGCAAAGATGAAGATGATGATGATGATGCAAGTGAACAAACGATAAACGACACTGTTGACGACAGTGTGTTAAACCAGGAAAAAACAAACAAGAAAACATTCACTAAGTTAAAATAAATTAGACGATAGTATAAAATAACAGATTTGATAGTAAAATTGATTTAATACTTTTTGAACATGACAAAATACACATTAGAATGAATTGAGAAGTGAAAATAAACAGACATGTAAGAACTAAAAACCTCTGAAGGAGAAGAAGAAGAAGAAGAAGAAGAAGAAGGATTCAATGAAAAGAAAGAACCAATAGTGGGAAAAGTTGCAACAACAACAAGAGTAATAAAGAAAGAAATTGGAAAATTCTAGATAATTTAAGCAAAAAAATGATTAATTAATTAATTAAATTAAAACACTTTCTATTAATAATTCAATTCAATTTAATTAGATAATAATTGAAATACAAAATAAGGGAGAAGAGAAAAAATTTCTGAACTATGTACTTTCTCTATGAACATTAAAATGGAAATAAAGAAGTAGTAAAAAGAAAAATATCCTTAAAATTCATAATAAATATTTCAGTCTAAAACGTTTGATGACCAGCAGTAGAATTCAGGAAGCGCATTTCATCCTATTTGAGACTTGATAGGAGGATGTACTTGCATCTTGGAGTTGATGTTCACTTCTGGACTCGAACCCCGTACCGTTCGCTTCAAACGCTTAAAACGTTTACTGATATCTAACTAGTCATAAACTATGTAATTTTTAAATATTATTAGTTGAATTCATTCTCGTGTATAATCACTTCACCTTCGCGAGGTGCGGTATCGTGGATGCGCACTGCTGAAGAGTCCCATACTAGGACGGAACGGCCATCCAGTGCTTCTAGGTTTTCTGTGGTGGTCTAGCTTCAGTTGACTTATGATCTCAATCAGTGAAATTTCTAAAATCTCTACAAAAATCCCTTCTGATATTATTAGTTTAATCAAGGTTTCAGGGCATTAATTCTTCTATTAACATATTTGTTTATCATTTTTTATTCAATAACTTTCAAATTTGTTTAGATTTTTGCTACAACATACTGATACAGATATTCATATTACTTTTTAATTAACAAATTTATCAAAAAGTACAAACAACTGATGAGTATTGAATGAAATGAATTCCTGTTATTTTTCTTCATAACGATATACTTTGGTTAAAAAGAGCACGAAATATACGTTTCGCGGATGCGTAATATTAGAAAATGTTTCCAACTACAATGAATCGCCTATCTAGTGTTAGTTAATGATAAAGTTATACTTTTTTCCAAGATAAAGCAAATTCCTAGGTGGAGTACTTTTTTCTTTTGATCTGGATGGTTTGATCGTAAAGAATAACAATGAAAGCTCCACGATCAAACTATTCAGTTGAGAGAACAAAACTCCATCTAAATCATCCTTCTGAACTATAAATATTCACCATCAACTCAGAAGTGAATCCATACTAATGACTTTAAAATTTACCAATAAATTACAATAACTGTATTTCAAATCTAGAAAAAAATTGAAGTGACAGAAAGAGAGGAAAAAAACTGGAGAGAAATCTAGAGATTACCAAAAGTAGGTGGGGAAACGTACATTTGTGTAAAAGATTTTCAACTGGACTATAATGATAACTATCATTGTAGGATTTTGTAACACCATATAGAAGGGTAATAAAATATTTCAGACAAGTGTTGTTAACATTAGAACATAAAAGAAACATTATTATTATTATTATTATTATTATTATTATTATTATTAGTAGTAGTAGTAGTAGTAGTAGTAGTAGTAGTAGCAGTAGTGGTAGTAGCAAACAATCTTTTTTACGTGTCTCCTAATCCTTTACGTAAATAATAAATAAATACCATTTAAAAGAAACGATTAATTTGCTTACATGATTGTAAAAAAGTGTTGTCAAAAACGTTATATACTCATCTTCATAATAGATTTCCACGTTTCAGTATACGTCCTGAGTATGTGAAGTATCATACATACTATTTCTCTAAAAAAATGTTCTCTTATGACAATACAGACATATCGACTAGATACGGAGGTTTATATTATTTTCAACGAAACAAGTGACGGATTCAGTTCAAAAGAAATCCAGTAAATCAAGCATTTTTCAATGGATTTATTTTCAGACTATGGATTAATTACTGCGTTAGTCCTAAACTTCATCTGCATGGTGGAGAAGATTTGTAGCTCAGGTGGATGATTTTGATGGAGTTTTGTTCTCTGAGCTGGATGGTTTGGTCGTGGAGCTTACATCGTTCTTCTGAACAACATCATCAGCACATACTTCAGATGTGTAAAGAACAAGCATATGGAGGAATTCGAACACTTCACTTCTATCTGAAGTTTGTGCTGATGATGTCGTTCACAAGAACGATGAAAGCTCCACAACCAAACCATCCAGCTCAGAGAATAAAACTCCATCAAAACTTCTTCTGTATGCTCACGAGTATCTTGAAGATATTGTGCAATCTTGTATTGTTGTCACATATACGAATGAATATAATAACTTTTATTATGACGTTATCATGATTATATATATACGTATGTAATACCATTTTCTGGGTTGGAATACATCATATCGTAGTCTTAACGTAGAGGCCTCTCATTAAAGTCCTATGTTCGAGTCCTGATGAGGTCGTGAGTTCTCGGGCTTGAAACATCCAATACAAGGTTTACAGACATATTCACTTTTCATCAGAGAGAGTATTCAATTTGGAAAAAATAAAAAGTCTTATAACTCCAGATGGTTAGAGGGCGTAAACAAATGTTTCAGCCTAATTTAAAAGAAATGATCAAGCTAAGAAACAAATTATTACTTTAATTAGAAATGGACAGAAAACTGTTCACTGACCAGTGCGAATTTAACGAATGCGAATAAATTCAATAAATGAATAAAATACTGAAAAATATGGAATGTTTGTGGAGAAATAATAGATTACATAACGCACAAACTTTGGGGAAAAAATAAAGTGTGCACCTAAACACAAAGTGAACATCCGTGATCCATTCAAAGTTTTAACCAAAGATTTTCGGGCCTTACGACTGGGCATGTTACTTTTAAACCATTAAGGTCATCGTTCGGCAGTCGGAGATTTAAACTTTAAGTGAACTCCAGGATTTTAATGACTGTTTAACAACAAACTCAGTATTCAACAACTAAAAAATTTCTATCCTACCAACGTATAAGTTAACCCTCTTGTTGACCAAGTTGAAAAACAAAGGAAAGTAAAAATGTTTACTTAATTACCAACAACTAAGAATATATACTTGTGAATTGTGAATGAAAAAGCTATGATACAATTAAACCACTTATTTGAGCCTAAATGAAATCTAAAAGAGAGTAAAGTAGTTGAACTAGAAGTGAGAGTAATCTAGAAGTTGTAAGATTAATCCGTTTTTTTTTAAAAATGGAATATATCAAATTTCCTATGATCATTGGTGGTAAGTGATTCGAAAAACATTGTAAAATCTAATCTTTAATAAGATGTTGAAACAGACAACTGGAACTGGAAATAGTAGAATGAGATGTATTGTACTGAAATTTAGCTCAAATTTTGATTACATTTTATTGAAGTACAACATTTTCAGGTTAAACAAAGTTCAGTTAACGTTCAGCCTGAATGATGTTTGAATTCATTTACATCTAAGAATTTTATAGTGGAAAATATCTGTAGAAAGAATGAATTAGATAGCTGCTTTGTTTTATTGTAAAGCATACATACCCCCACATCAAAAAATTATAAGGGACCACTATTGACTCTAATAGCATTAAGTTTCATTTCTCAACCATATTTTAATTAAAATGATTTTATCAATATGCACTTTTCCATTTCGTTACTTATTATTGATGCGTACACACACACACAATCTCATGATAGATTCAATTGGGATCAAAATCCATAAGCAATCTACGATCGCCGTGTAATATCACGAACTAACTAAATTTAACATTATCTGTCATCAGATTTAAAGTAAATTCATTGAATACAAAGTGATAGCCATGAAAGCTAGAAATATTAGTATCATACCAATATACACTGGATGTATATAAACACTTTTATTTTATTTTAATTTCGTTTTAACACATAGATATTGGTACAAAGGGGCATCGAATACATATGCGCCACACAAACCTCATTTGATTTGTGTGAGGGCTGTAATACTGCACGGGTGCCTAAACCGAAACAGGTGATTTTCTTAGGGAGCCACATCCCGAGCCTTCGACCTGAAGGTCTGATCCACAAGGCGGTGGAGCATCGTAAGGAGATGCAGTCCGATGGTAGCTGGTGACCAACGACATTCGTTCACTCAGGATACTGGAGCGCATGTGCACCATTGGTTTGCAATCAGGGTTATCCAACTCCCGTAGGTGGACTCTTCATGTCCACCAACCCGGTTAAAGAGCCGGACATTTACTTTTCGTCCTCTCAATTTCATAAACAACATCGGTGGCGCAAGAAGGCAATGAGTAGGACTTCCCTGGCAGAGGCTATATACGCGTGGCCATGTGAGAGCATTTCGAGAGGGAGAGCGGATCCTCTCCACTCTCGGCCGTATCAGGGCATTTGGAAGCCTATAGACATTGTAAACGAAATAATTGTCCAACACTCTTATATGAATATTATCAATAAACAACAACAAAAACAACGTTAATTATAAAAAGAAGAAATTTATCAAAACAATCGAGAAAAAAAAAGGGTTAGACAAAGGACACAATTAGTAGACAAATAAATTTGTACAGAGATATACAACATTTTTCACTCAGGTATGATATAGAAATGTATTTTGATAAATTAAAATCGAACTTACCTAACTGAGTCATTCCTATGTAAATTGAAGATTTTCAATATAACCATGGTGATATGAAACATAAAAGAAAAAGTATAAAATAAAAACTAAACCAAATAGAAAAGAAAAAAAAACAATGAATGAATAATCAAATTGTAGAAAACAATACACGTTTAAACTGTTTACGAATAATACTATACATGCCAATTTGTAGACAAAACTATTCATTTAACTTGTAAATAGATAAAAACTTAGATGTGTTAGATACCTACTATGAAAGTTCAGTTGTTATTAAGAAAGAAAAGAAAACAAAACAAACAAATAAATTCTCCACATTGGAACAAACATTAAGAGTTCTCGGTTTGTTAATTGACAAGAGAATTTCAGTTGACAAATGAAATGCTTAGTCGATTAGACTTTCTTAAGGAACAACATATTGAGTGGTATAACTTTATTCCTATATGTATTTGAGAGCGTTTTTATAGAAAAGGCTGTTGCTATAGGAATAAACTATAACGGAATCTCGTATATACTACTGCTATTATTGTGTTAAAGTTCAAGTATATGAGGAGAATTGAGGGAAAATCTTGTTTGTCCAACTTCATTTTCTTCAATTTTAAAGAAAATTTGACAAAAGAATAGTTGCTTTATCTGAACAACCACTGAAGATCAGTAAACACTACATTGTGAAAATGTAAACTATTCAATGTCAAATTAGTGGTCTTAAAGTTTTGTTTTCACTGCGATGGATTTGATCTTAAACGAGGTCATTGGAACATATTTCTTTAATCTCATATTAAGGCAAAACGGTTGTTATTTTCACTAAAATCATGGACAGATCAATTTTAGACCACGACTGGTAAAGTGGAAGCAGCCGTTTTGTCTTAGTATAGGACACCTCGGAAGTGCTTGTTAACAAACTGCACATGGAAATCATGTTCTCATTGGTAACTTGATGCGAAAGAGAATCCTCGGGATTCTAGTGAAAAGTGGTGACCAGTGGAGTTTAACCGTGTCGGATGTAAGGCAATTACCCACCGAAGACAATGGAAGACGATCGCTCAACATCGTGGATTGACTGAAACTAGACATTAACACCGTTGGATGGCGATTCTGATCTGTAGGTTAAGCGTTTGCGAGCGGGACCGGACGTCCTGTGTTCGATTCTTTCATGAGGAGTACTGAATGCGAACCTCTCAGTAGTTGTACAGATTAAGTCACTTCGTGATGTAAATCATTGTTACTACTACCGTACAGAATCAAAGCAGAAATTCTAATGAGTTGACAATTTGTTAACTAGTACAATCTGTCTATCTATTTTTCTATTTAATCTATCGCCTGAAATTAAATTACACTAAACGACTCTAAAAGAAGCAACGAGTAAGCCTAACCATATTAAAATAATCATATCTTAAGAAAATCGATAATTCAACAAACTTTAAGGTGGGTAACCGTCAGAAACTATCAACAGAGTAAAATGGACCGAATACCATAATGAGGTATTAAAAAAGCACTTTTCAGTGGTGAAAAGAAAACCTGAGTGATTATGTAAAGTGAAAACAAACTCAAATGGAAATAATACTTATCCAATCTATATCATATTTATGCTCTTCATTGGTTTTTTTACTGAATACTGATAAATTTTACTTTTTGTTTTAATAATTTTGATGAGATTTAATGAACGGTCATTGAGATTCTGCACTGAACCATGTTCTCAATCCCATAAGAATCACATACAATGCCTGAAAGTATTCTGGTAAGCACACTACTAATCATTTACTGAATTGTAATCGGATGACTTTCATTTATGAACATTTTTAAACTCATGATATAGTGTAAACATTATGTAATGTCGCCTACTGGTTTGCAAGTATTTCATCCTCCAGTAAGTCAACTCTACATGTTACGAAGTTTTATGAGAGTTCCGGATTTTAATCTTGATTGGAACCGTGTATTGACAAGCTGAGACACATAAAATATGATGATAAAGCTATTTAGTAGTCTCTAGATCTCAATGGTTAGCCAATTGGTCACTAACCATTCAGCGAAAACTACCTTCAAATCACTCAGATTTTGAAGTAGCACTACGGATCATGATACTTTTCAAATTTGGATTTTCGTTAGTGCTATTAAATTTATTCACTTTTTTTTCGTTTTCTCTCGTGATGTAGATATCTCTTCCAAAAATAAACAACACAAACATCCCATCTGTCCACTTAATCATTCGAGTACATTCTCACCGAAGTACATTTAACGCTCCTAGAAACTTCTCCCGATATTATTATAATTTATATTGTCCAATATTCAGTGATTATTTCACTTCATCGATGACAATATCACAATAATCTTTCGAAAATTTATTGAATCAAATTCGAATTCAAACTGACCACTTATTAAGTACTCCAATGCGCATGATCAATTATTAGGATACTTAAATCCCCAAAAAAGGGAAATAAATGTAATCACAGTTAAATAGTTAGTCTTGATAAATAAAACATAATTGATTTGATTTTATAGAATGTTACTAGTAATAATAATAATTTCTTAAATGGATTTAGCAAAATAAATAAATATCTCTCTCTAATAAGAACACAAAGAAACGTGAATTCTCGTTTATTCTTGCATACAAGATGAAAGTGGAAGGTGTAGACAACGAAGAAATGCATAAAATGAAATCAAGTAAAGAGAGAAGGAAGAGTACAACCTGTCGGTAAGAATACAGCATACAAACATGCCCATACACAAACACATACATACATATATATACATGGAATATCAAAAATACACAGTAAATAAATAAATAAATAAATCCAACCAACTTTGTTCATACACAAACTGAAATTAGTAATTATGTATACACACTGTTCTATAGATAATCAGATAAGAAGTTGAAGGGAAAAAGTGATGAACTATATTTCGATACATATATTGAGAAAGAAGATCGAAACGAGATGGTAGAGTGGGGTGAGGCGGGAAGACAATGAATGAGAGATGACAGTAACGAATAGAATAGGAGATAAGATGCATTAAAAAGGTAATTTATGAGTTAATAATGATAATAGTAAATATTTCATTACTTCGTAAAAATAGAATCTGACCATAAAACACACTCCAATTATATGTAAGACTTATATATTTGTACTATCGGAAAGTCATTGGTAAAATGAGTAAATTTATCCAATAAACCTAGTATATATGTATCCACGTGTGTGTTTGTTCAAGATATATAATTCTCATCGTTTATTGGGAGTGTACATGTTCGTAACTCAGCAGTACCCAAAAGAGGGATATCTATGTACACACAGTCTGTGTATAGATGTGTTTAGATGTATTTGTACTAAATGAATTCATACTTTGATTATTTATATAAATGCATATCAACCTATCCTTACATTAATAAATCAAACAAACAAATATTTTCTTATTTCCGTGTATAATAAAACGAAATTCATCGAAATAAAAACGATATTTTCATCATATATAAGAGTGGGTTTTCGGGCATTCGTTAGATCAATTATGTTCCTATATCAAGTAAAGAGATCCAATACATTGGAAAAAAAATCATTTTAGGATCGGTTTACATCGTTATTAGTTAAGTTGTCCTGTTGTGGATATTCAGGACTGAATTTAGACCAGTCTATATAATTCAGTGGGTAGAAGTTGTATCACCAACTGAACAGTATTAAATTATACAAGACATTTGTCCTAAATTCCGCTGCTAGCCATCATCCATCTATTCTATATTATCTTATATTTCCTTTGTCAATACATAACAGTATTCTAAAAACAAAATATAGTAGTACTGGCCAAACTTTCACGAAGAAAACAAAACTTTGGACATGTTGAAAGAATGTTCTCATTATAAGAAAAATAATTCATTCAGCTGCAGATTCCAACATATATTTATGGTACTTAATATATTGTCTGCTTTTTATGCATAAAAGTGAATTGATTTAAATTATAATGATTTAGTGAGTAAAACTATGATGAAGAGACGAATGGCCGAGAATGACAAACGTTCGAAGCTATTATTTTAGATCAATGTTTATATTTCTTAATGTGTATCTATTAAACAATCAGCACACAAGTTTTTAATACTCTCTTAATTGTAAGGTTTTAGTTGACCTACTAACTGATGTTACACCCTTCCATGTTCCCAAATTATTGTAATATAATTATAAACTTGTTATTCCAGTTGGCACTGTAAATGACCTGGTTAGGTATACGGTGAGATATATATGTATATAAAGATTTAAGTCTTTGAGTCAACGTAATAAGAGGTAGATTCGGTTTCTTTTCTTGTGTTGTGGTTGAAATGTAGAGGAGAGAGGAATTTTGGTTGGATCGATAAGCGTTAGTATATCAAGTCACTGAGTCAGAATATAAGCATTTTCGGTTCAAAGATAACAGAGAAGGCAACGCTAAAAAACATTAGGTGAAGCTAGTATAAAAATTTCAGATGCACATTTACACTAATCATTGAAAGGATGAAATAATAATGATGATAATAGTGATAATGATACATACCACGTTTCCCAGTTACATTCGGAGTAGATCGACAGGAATAACGACCTAAAAGAAATAGAAATAAAATAGAAATTTTCTCTCAAAGAAAACTGAAAATCCTTCACTATCATTGATTACATAAAGAATGATTATTATTTAACGAATGTCATACAATGTTTCTAGTATTATATTGAAATACGGACTTGTACTATGATGTGAAAATTAAACTAAGGAAATTCCACAAATACAAAAATTTGTAATAAATATTCTGGAAATTGAAAGTTAAATAATGATTGAAAGGAATTTAGCTCATTAACCAGTAATAAGATAGAAGACAACCAGGTTTTCTTCAGTTAAGTGAGTAATGGTGTGCCGCTTAATAAATAGCAAATCAGATAATTTTTTTTTTAAAATGACATTTGAAACAACATACTGAGGCATAGAACTATTTATTGTTATTTATTTTAACACATAGATATTGGTACAAACGGGCACCGATTACATATGCGCCACACAAATCTCATTCGACATGTGTGAGGGTTGTGATACTGCACGGATGCCCAAACCGAAACAACTGGTTTTCTTAGGGGGCCACACTCCGAGGCTTCGACCTGAAGGTCGGATCCACAAGGCAGTGGAGCATCGTAAGGAGATGTAGTCTCATGGCAGCCGGTGACCAACGATTGGTTCATACACCATTTGTTCACTCAGGGTACTGGAGCCCATGTGCACCATTGGTTTGGAATCAGGGTTTTCCAACTCCCTTAGGTGGATCCTCCATGTCCACCAACCCGGTTAAAGTACCGGACATCAGCTTTTCGTCCTCTCAATTTCGTAAACAATGCCCCTGCCACGAGGAGGCAATGAGTAGGACTTCGCTGGTAGAGGCTATATATGCGTGGCCATGTGAGATCATTTCGGGAGGGTGGGCGGACTCTGTCCACTCTCGGCCGTACCAGGGCATCTGGAGGCATAGAACTAGTTAAAAATGAAAAGTAACCCGTCAATGACCAAGTACAAAAACCTAAGTGGGAGGAAATTTATTGCTCAGATAATGTTATACCAGTAAATAAATAATGGAAGTTTTTAAACATTTTACCTATAGTGTCATTTTGAACGCATCACCCAATATGATCACAATTAATGAAACAAATCACTTTAAGATACGCTTCTAAAACGTGTATATAGTTGTCATGAGAATAACATTTTCAAATGATGGTTAAAAATTGTATTTCAAAAGGATAACTTAATTAGAATCAAATCACTGTTGAATCTTTAAATACAGGCGACATAAAAAAACGAAAAGAAATTACGAATAAAATCTTATCAAACCTATGTGAAATAAAAGAAAACACAGTATACCATCATCAAAGTATGAGAAGTCATAACGAGAAATTATAATTCATACAATCATATGATCATTTAGTGCAAAAGATTAACCAATCAGTGATTATCATCTATAAGAATATTATAGCACAACTTTCTAAACTGTATTCATTATTTTGATTTGATCACACGATCGTTAATTGATGCCAAAATGATCATTTGTAATCATTTTAGTTAAAATGAGAGAAAAAAAAAGAGAAATTTTAGTGATAATAAACTGATTAAGTATGGAACGAGTAACAAAACACTATCACGTTATTATTATTATTATTATTTAAGAAATGGATGAGATTTTGCATTAAAATGCTCGAAAAGAAATTATTCTCCTTTGGTATACGTAGCTTAACTTTTTGTAAACTCTTGAACTGTCATAATTGACAGATATTCAACACACGGATTACACTAGAATTTTTCGATTATATGATGAATTTAAGTGTGAAATAGATATTCCCCAAGATATTAGATCATCATTCAGAGGAAGATGGATCAATACCATTCTATATAATGTAATTTTACTCATTCCTTATGGTTGATTTAAAATAAGCCTCCAGTTCGTGAATTCATTGTTCTACGTCTTAACATCATACTTCTTTTTAGTCTATTCGAGTTATATACATCAGCTCTCATGACGAAAGGGTTTTAATAACCTCAGACATTTATTCTGTATCTACCCTGCGATTACATCATCTCTTTTATTGTATTCATGTATTATGCTGTAAACAAGATAATTTAGCATATAAAATTTAACTGCTATCATTAACTTAAGCCTATTTAAGCAATGAGATATCTAAATCATGTTCACCGTATAGGTATTCAGAGATTAAACAAACAGATGCTTAAGAATCGTAAGTGGAGAGATAACAATAAATTCATTTACCGAATATAGGTTTGTATATTCGATTCGGAGTCACACTTTAGGAACAAGGGTCAGTAATACCATCTGTCTTCGCGAACCAATTATACGGAACAGGGTTGAAAACTGTGAATTTTATGATGACAGTTGAGGGATTTAACCTTTAGTCACTCTACTAAGCTAACCCATTAAATAGATTACGAGTTATGGTTGGTTATGCTTAGCTTTATTTAACAATTGAATAAACAAAAGACTATTGGACATTTTGATGTCCATGATAAAAGACATATCAAGTCATATGTAGGAATATCAGTAGTATTTTGAGGAGCATTGTCAGAAAGCAAACGTAATGAGACCATGATTCTCACACAATGGAATTAAACACAGCTCTTACAGTGTTTGTAAACAGTGGGCAAAATCAAAAGTGTTGGCAGTAGACTAAAATACGTAAATGTTAGGACAGAACAAAGAAACTTATTTTTCGTAGTCACTTTATGAGTCATAACTGGGTCAGTAAACTACTCTCGTAGAAAGTGGTTGTTAAATGAAGCACCAAACAAATTCTAAAGTCTCTCCGGTTACTCATCACTAACCAACGACCATCACCTTGAATGAGATACTGACACCTATCAAAACATTAGATCACCAAAGTTGACGATTTAGTTCTTTAAATTCCATGTATTAAAGAGAGAATTCTAGGTATAAACCGAATAGATAATTAATATTGCGCAACAAAATTTAATCCCAACTAAACAGTATTGAGGGATTGATAAAACAAACTATTTCCGATTGTTGTTCAATAAGCAGTTGGCGTTTATCTGAAATGCCTTCAAAGTTTTGTTTTAGAAAAACCAAAACAAAACGTAAAGTGTATCGATTAAAATCAAACTAGAACTTAGCTGGTCAATAAATATTTGAAATTTATTAACAACCTAAAATATTCTTGCTAGGGTTGAAGATATCACGAGTTCACTTAATCTGCGAACGAGAAACAAGACTCAGTGACCAAAGGCCAGTAAGCTAGCTACTGATACGTCCCAGCCTCGCTAACTAGAGGGAGACGTCCAAGCTTGGAATGGGAAAGTATATTCTGCAAACAGCCAGAAACGAGCGATAACAACAAACGCAATTCAAAACGTATATATACAGTACAAAACCGTCCTTGGGGAGAGTTACCAAATAGCATACTAAAAGACGCAACGGACCAATAGCATTTAAGATATTTCCCAGTGGGAAATACGACATGAAGATGACAAGAGCACCTTTGGCGTGAAAACAAAAAAATTCAAATTTTCCAAATAAAATTACAAAATAAGGTCCTTTCCCAGGTGAGTTCTGGGGATCTAACGTCCCCAACAATTCTCGAACAAAGAAATAATGTAGTGAAAGAATATTACACCAGGAATTTTTGAAGACAGGCAGTAATAAAATACAAATCTATCATATGAATTGCAATTAAAAATTAAACGCCATATCTCAGATTTAAACTAATCAGTTTGAATGTTTTATATGAAAAAAATAACCAAAAGGTAAAGTGTTACCTAAATCATTTGACTTTGAGTGAGTTTAATAAACTAGACCCTAATTTAATGGTGAGGATTTTTTTCGTTCAAAATAATTCAATTAGCGTTTAATTCGACAGAATCTGTTGTAGATACCTTGAAAAAAAATGTTCTGAATCTGCTTCCAACTTACAAAGCTGGACAATTTACATTTCTCAGTCAGTTGTGAGCAACTTAGAACCTGGAAAATATGTGCTCCAGTTCAAGCTATCACACTATATCACAACAGTAATATAAAATTAAAAAGACAAATCCTAGATTAGTAGAAGTAAGAATAAGATCGGCGGATATAGCAATAATTGGGAAGACTATATGATTCGAGGGTAAATTTTGTAATCATACAATAAAAACATATGAGGTAATTTTAGAACTCAAGATATAAAGAAAGACAAAGAATAGATGAATCTGAGTCATGTCACAGAAAGTCGCTAAACTCTGATTGAAATAATCAAATGAACCCCAACAATATAGTCTACACTTACCAACACCACTCAATCTAAAGTTAGTAAACCACATAATGGGTTTAAATTACTTAAATGAAAGGGTTTGTAGTTTTTTTAATTCTGGGGCTGATAAAGGTAGAAGATCATAATTCTGACAAATTATATCAATAGTTTTATCGTCTTGGGTTGACGATCAAATGAGATCTAAGGTAGAAGAATCCTATAAAGATTTGACTGATTCAACAGAAAAACGAATCTGCTGGCATTCTTAGACAACTTCTAAAAAAGGAAATGATTGCTGATTCAAAAAAATACTACTAATGTGCACAACAGATGTTCAATTCCAGTTTAGTAACATCATATATCGCCTAATCTATGGCGTAGCAATGGGAAGCCTACTAGGTTCAATTATGGTAGATATTTTAATGGTGTATCTTGAAAACACGGTACTTAAACAGGCGATTAATGAAAAGACGGAATACTCCAGATATGTTGATGATACGTTTATTGTCTGTAACAATAAAGAGCATGCAATCCGTCTGCTAAAACTCTTCAATAATTCTCATCCTCACATACAATTTATTATGAAACACGAAGAGAACGACATGTTCCACTTTCTTGATGGTGCCATAAAACGTAAGGAAGACGGGACAGTACAACGTTCGGTTTATCGAAAAAGTACTTGTAATGGCCTTTATTTGAATTTCAATAGTTTTTGTCCAATTAGTTACAAGGAGGCATTGGTTAAAACACTATTTTATAGGGTAGAAAGGATATGTACCACCGACAAACTGGAAGAAGAATTAATGAACGTTGAAAAACGTCTAAGAGACAATTTTTACTCACAAAAGTTTATTGACAAATATAAAAACCCCAAAGAAAACAAGACGGAAATAATTGCGGTCAATAAAAAGCTAGTATCTATAAATCTTAACTTCAAAGGTGATGAGGTTGCAAACACAATCAACAGGAGACTGAATACTGCGCTAGCCAGAACTTGCCCGGAGGCTAGACTTTTAGTTCTCTATAAAACAACATGTTCAATAACTCAGTCAAAGGTCGACAGGCACCCCTTTCATGTTACTGCCAACTGTATTTGTAAATTTACGTGTACCTGCCAAAGCAGCTACATTGGCCGAACAGAAGGGAGGGCATATCTTAGATTTTTTGAACATGTTCCAGAAAGTCTCAGAAGAAGGGAAAGCAAGACTCTAAATAGTGCAATCATCAAACATATCTTTAATACAGGATATCAGGTAGATACTTTGCAATCGTTTATGGTGATTAGTAAGCAGTCAAACTCCAGTCTTCTGAAGTTTGCTGAGGCCGTTAACATCAGGTTTCGAAAACCTGACCTATGTGTTCAAAAGGAGATGGTTATTAATCTTTCCTTGCCTTAGTGACTAATATTCCTTCGCTGTATCTTGATATTTTTTTCTTTAAACTCTTTCTTGCATTTATTAAACCATTGAGTTTGATTTCAACTATCTTCCAAATTAATAATCTTATCCTATCAACTGAGCTGTACTCGCTATACTCCTATCAACGTTTACTTATTATGTAATCACTTGTATTCTGGCCGTTTGGACTGTTGTCACAATCAATGTGGTAGAATGTTGTTCTTTCACATAAGATATATATTTACGACATTCAGTCTATTAATTATATTTACACCCTTGCTATACTATACGAATATGTCTTCAGTATAACTTCCAACCAAACTCTTTCATGTAAGTAATTTAAACCCATTAATTATCATTTTAAATATCACAGGTTGTAAGCAGCTGACGAGAACCTACGAAATAAAATGAATTCATGATATTGTGTTAGAATGTTTGTTCTTCCTCTTTTCAAAATAATAAAGGGAACTACGTGTATGAAGGTTAGTAAACTCATTAACTGACATCACGTTTGGGTTTTCCTGCACCTAAATTTCTTCCAAACTATCACTAGAAAAGCCAATCGCGCGTCAAGATATACTGTAGTTATGTATACGCAACACACATCCCGATCGACTTAGTTAATGAATATTCACCGTTTTTCGAATTCCTTAACCAGAACGCTGTGTTTAGCCTCACTCAGTAGATCTGATATGTCAGAGAAATGCTTCGAAGGGATTTACGTCCAAAAGCTAATCCATTACGATAAAAGTGTATGTTTCACAACCAATGTACACAGAACTCGTTTTGTCACAAATAAAAATCAAACAATTTTTATCTAAGTTTGATTTGAACTGACTACATCAATGTTTAAGTTTTGAACAGCTTTAAAAAAAGGAAGAATTTCTGTTTAATAATCAAACGCATCCATTAGAAGTGCAGAATATACCATAATAACCAAAAATGAATACATATTGAGATAAGAAAGAATACAAATATGAAGAAACAACTAGTGATTGATGTACTGATAATCAAGAGGAAAATAAAAACTGTATATTCCCAGGGTAGTTTCCATAAAAATTGATTACGATTTGCAGCTTCTAATCAATACCTAAAAATAGTAAGCGCCTAAGTCACAAATAGAAATAATTAACACTTATTTGTTTCCCTGAAGTAAAGTTAAGAACTGATATTCAGTTGATAACTAACCTGTTGATTGGCGCATATTTTCTAAGCCTGGTGGTAGTGTAGATGAATTCATTCGTTCCGAACGACGAAAACCCATAACACCAGACCCAAGAGAACTGGAACCAGGTGAAAGTTGACGTTGTCGAACATACATATCACGTTTAGGTCGGCCGGTTAGTGAAATCGGTGTGTTCGATACTCCAACAGATATCGATGTACCACTATAACTTGGCAATTTAGGTGGGCTATATCCATTTACTTGCTTTTGTAATTCAATATCATTTGAACGTCGGAACGGCATAGAATTACTTGTCGCTGATCTAACTACATCTCGCCTTGATATATGATGATGACTTGGTGTATGATGTGATGAACTGAAATGATTAGATCTTGCTAATGATCTAGATCGATGACCAACATTTTCATTATTCATAGTAGGATTTAATTCTTCACTACTCATTATAGCGGTGAAACCTTGTTCTGCTAATTGAAGATACGATATAGGATATTGACGACCATAATCAACACCTGGTGGACAGATACGTCGTTCACATGCTGATGGTGTAAATGAATTAGGTGATACAGTTTGCCCAGGTGTAGTAGATAGTAAAGTATCAATCGTTACTGGTCCCATCCCATGTTCCTTATAAAAAGGTAGAAGTTATTTACAGAAATATGAGTTGTATGACGAATAGTGAGAAAAAGTTAAATATATAATGAGAAAAACAATTGTATAAATGATGATTGGTCAAATCCGGCTTATCCCAGTTCGCTAGACCATACTATCGTGATATATATGTCAATGAGGAGCGAAAAACTACTAAATTACGACTAAGTTTCTTTCATCTTCTTGATGAAATCAGTAGTGTTATAACAAAGTTGGTACCATTATTAAAGTTATCGTGATTTGTGAAATACTCAGAACCTCTGATGCAGAGAAGTTAATAAACTGTAAGGATTTTTAATTTGACACAGTTGTTTATAGTGGAATGGAAAAAAAAACCAACAGCTGGAGAGACCTTACAATGGATTCAAAAAATAGTGAAGAGCGGATGGTTCGGTATTAAAAAGTAGACATAACTGTTTAAAGCCATGGCTATCAACAGTGATTAAACAACGATTATATACAAACCACTAGACAACTTCGCGATGCTCAACACAATAGAATATGTGGTTTAAGTCTTAAAGTCCTGATAATAAACATATTTAAAGTATTTTACACAATAAAAATGAAGAGAATACATGTCCATAGATTTGTAGCACATCTACTTCTCAGTGTTCAGTGTGTGTGCAGCATCTGGTGTCTACTGTTTGTGTAGTGAGTGAATAATGCATTTACGAGTTTAACTTTTACTAAGGATTTCATTTCAAGCTGTAACTTTCACTTTTTAAACTGTTTTGCATCCGGAATGTTGGGGTGTGCTACAGTAGCGTACCAACATAATACATATGTAGATTGCTTTACATGACTTAGCACAAATACACTGAATAAGCAAACAAACGCCCAGAAATCCTAGATAAAACACTTAATGAACATCGAAAAAAAGGTTCTTCTCAAACAAACATCAAAGTCCCATTCAATTCAATACGATGTAAACAAATGAATATTTCACACACAGACACATAACATAGTCAATCATGTACAATTCGAGAAAAAAAACAATAGTATTCTATTGATAAACATGTGTATGTCCACGTATAGAACAGACCTCCAAAGGAGTAGAAAATAAGAATTCATGAAGTCAAACTTGAAAAGAGTGCGTTCTATTTTGATTAATCACTTTTTTACTTTGATGCATCAAAATGAAACGCAATGAGAAGAAAAGTACCGAATAAAATATAACAGATTAACGTAAATGTTCACCTTCATAATTTTTTTTAAAAAAAGGAAAACAAACTTATCAATGTCTCTTACTTAGAAATAATATAAAATAAAACATGCATACCAATGTGAATCTATGATTAATACTAACAAATGAAATCGTTATGTATTCAAAAACAAGGGGATATTTGAGAGTAAAATTATTTTTAAGAACTTTAACTTCAGGTTCTATTCATGACATACTGTATTCTAAGAAGAATCATACTACAGTATACATATAAATGTTATGATTCAGTTATACATTGAATATAGTGAATTATGCATCGATTATGCCTAAAGTATTTGCAAAACAGGTCATTGGTAAAGTTAAAATGTCACTGGTTGAAATCATGAGTCAATTGAAGCTAGACAACCATGGGAAAATTGGAAGCACTGGACGGCCGTTTCGTTCTAGCATGGGACCCCTCAGCAGTGCACATCCACGATCCCGCACTCCACGGGATTCGAACCCAGGACCTATCAGTCTCGTGCCAGACGCTCAACGAACTAGACCACTGAACCGGCATCCAACGGTGTTAATGTCTAACTTCAATCAATCCACGAAGTTGCGCCACCGTACGCCATTGTCTTCAGTGAGCTGATGCCTCACAACAGACCTGGTTGAACTCCACTGGCAACGACTTCTCACTAGAACTCCAGAATATATCTCTTGAAGTCAGTCACTATTGAGCAGGTGATTATTATCAGAAGGCGTTTTGTGGAGATTTTAGAAATCTCACTGGTTGAAATCACACAAAAATGAATAAAGAATGTCACTGCAAAGTAAATAGTTATAATTAGCAGAGTAAAACCATATAATTATGATATATAATAGATGCTGTTGGAATGGTAAAGAAGATTTGTAGATTAGGAGGAGGATTTTGGTGAAGAAATTTCAATGACCTACTACTATAGGAAATTTGTGCTGATGAGTTTGTTTATATGAATAACGCAGACTTTATGATTATATAACTCAGCTCAGAAAAAGTAAATAAACTGTGAAAAATGTTGTCGGAATTACTGTGATAATATAATAATAATATCCAGTGAATTAACAAGGATGAATGTTTCGCAGAAAGCAACAAGAAAAAGCTTATGAATTTTGAATAAACGTTCAATAGTATGTAACTGACAAAACCGATTACAAACGGAGTGGGATGACTCTACTTCTGAACAGGGCAAATAAAGCATTTAAAAGTACTTCCTTCACAAACCTAAATTTAGTTTCATCGATTTGGCCTGTTATATAGATAAGAAATAGTCTTACAACATTTTATAGGTCCCTCAAGACATGGTATATGACGAAACAGGTTACCTTGTCCTGGTTATAGCACTTACTGTCTATCAGCAATGACTAAAACTGATTAGTTCGATCATAAGTAATAAATGCATGTTGTATAGTAGCTAATATAATACAATAATGATAAACCTATAATTTTAAAACAACAAGATAAATTTATTGACAGTAATTGATCATTCAAATATTCTCTTCCGTTTTCAGTATGCTATGAGGGCTTGTAAATTACTTAAAAAATTGTATCAATTTTTCAACAAGCGAGTGGATTGAATACAGTGTCACAAATTTCAACAAAGTTCTCCAATCATGTCTGCAACATTATTGCTACAAATAGCTACATTTAAGGTTTTTGAAAGAAAAAAGAAACTCATAAAGTCCTTCAGTATTTTATCTAGTAAGCAATCCTCACCGCTTCTAGAGATGAACAATATTTATAATGGTAATGTATATATGTGTCGATTAATGATTAGTAAACACGTCATGCTTGTCTAGTACACTTGTGATGGTCTAGTTCTATCAACCAGATTGTTATTTAGCCACTATCTTGTGTGGCTTTACATTGCGTGCACTGTGTTTTGATGTTAGGTGATTAGCAGAAATCCTTAGATCTAGGTTTTATGATGATTGGCATTCGTCAGCAAACCAATGCTATAACGTTGATGGAAATGGTTTTTCCAATTTTCTGTCGTTCAATGTCACAATCTGATATCTTACCACTGAGTTATTCGGGCAGTGAATTAGTGGTAACCTCTCGGAATGTAAGTGGTATCGGTTGGAATTACAAAGAGAGAGAGAACTAACTTGAAACTTAATCTTAGAATTTACTGCCTACCGATTGTCTCCAATCACTAAACAGGTAATATATATTTACTGACCAAATAGATCAATGAAATCACATGATATAAGTGAAATCAAAAGTGAAATATATCATCACTAGAGAATATCAGAACAGCTGGATATAATCAACATGTTAGTTAACTTTTATTAAACCTTACAGATATTATGATTCATTAGTTTTGAAGTTTTAAAAACAAAACCTTCTTTTACTCTAACCCTTCAATCAAATATACTAACTATGAAAGAGATGATTAAATGACGATAATAATAGTAAACATGAATAGTGAGAGATATTATTGTTTCCATTACTTAAGTAACTGTTTTTTGACAATTGAAAAGACAAAAACAGTGGTTCACGTTGTTTTTTTACGGTAAACAAGTCAATGTGAAAATTGAACGGAGAATAAATTGAATAGATTGTAGAGAAAATGACATTTCAAACACTACTGAAATGAAAGTGACCTCGTTCGCTAGAAAATTTGACATTTAACACATAGGTTGTCGATACGAACCACTTCTTATCTACTTTCCTTCCAGCATTCAAGAAGTTTAGTTACCTCACAAACACATATGCAAAGTAACTGAAGATCGATTAAATAAATGTCTAATTGATAGACGATTTACAACCAATGGATAAGCATAGAAAACAAGAGAAACTCCCTTTTTTATATGAATAACATTAAAATATGCTCACAAAATCAAATTAACTAAGATAAACAAATCACCAACGAAAAAGTTTTTTAAAACAATTATCCATATCGATAAACGTAAGTTATATAATGAAATACTTTTTTACATTGTAAATTCATCAAAAGACTGTTTAGATAACGCGTTCGTTTGGTCCTATTATGGGACTCCTCAGCAGTGCCCAGACGTGCACAATAGGATGAAACGACCGTCCTGTGCTTCCAGGTTTCCAATGGTGGTCTAACATCAATCAGTTCATGATCTCAATCAAAAAACTTCATAATCTCCACAACCCTATAGTGATGATGAGAATATAATTTGACTCCCACTCTTCATAACAAAATTGAGGACGGACAAACAATAATGACTGTGATAGAAATAAATTAGCACTAATTCAAATCCTCAATCCAAGCATAATTTAAACATTGTTAAATATATCAGTGTTATTATGTATTGAATTTGCATATATGTTTAAACGGTGGCTGCCTGCCGCAATCCCGTAACCATAAAATATTTCAGACAATCTTATCGACACAGGATAGAATGTTGCAGAACATTTGTATTTTTCTTAATCTCAGTTTTTTTTTTAAAGAATAGATAAGAAAATAAGCCTACAAGTCAATGTGATGTCTTAACTAGACTTTTGCAATAACTGAAATCCCTTTACACTTTTGAAAATGTGAATGAACAAACTGGAAGCAAATCAATTCATGGTAATAATTTCACAGTCAGGAATCGCAACAAACTACCACTATTAATAATATATTACAGATTATTAATTGTTTTAGTAGTAATGGTAGTAATGATAATATCATCCAAGACTGTATTATACAATGAATAAAACAGTAATAATGTCTAGCTGTGTGAATGAACTAGGCGGCGTGCTTGAGCATCTGGGCTACCGGTTCCTGTCATCTAAATATTTCAACAAGTTATCTATTTTTGTTTGTTTTAATATATC